GTTTAGGGCTTACCTTAACCCGGAATAACCTACCTTTTTAAGGATCTATACAAGGAATTCATAACAAGGAACCCAAAAAAGGTAGGTTATTCAGGGTTAAGGTAGTGTTTAAGGTTCATCGTAATTTAATGAGGTTTAGAGTTTAGGGCTTAGGGCCTATGGTTTAGGGTTTAGGTTTGGGTTTAGGTTTAGGCGCCTGATTTATGCCCTCGGATCTCGGGCGCGGGGTCTGGGAAGCAGCTCCAAGCGGCGCTTGCACGGCAAGCCGCGGCCGAAATCCTGAACTCTACACCGTACACCCTGGGCTTACTGAAAGCTGAAAAATATACCGCAACCCCCGAGGAGCCATGTAATGGAAAGCCTTTATCAATCGAACAGGGGCTCGTGGTTTATTGTACGGAAGAAGCTAGTAAGCTAAGAACTAAAAGGGGTGGCTTTCAAAATGATGGTCCCATTTTGGGTACCCTAAATATTAGATGCCGTACTAAGGGGACCCTAATATTGACAACCACCCAGGATTAAAATCAATTCTTGAACCCGCGTCCTGGCCCAGGCCACGAATTCTAATGTCGGACTCTGGTCGGTTTACGCTCGCCCTGCCCTAAACCCTAAACCTTAGACCCGAACCCCTAAACCCTAAACCCTAAACCCTAGACCCTAAACCCTAAACCCTAAACCCTAAACCCTGAACCCTAAACCCGAAACCCTAAACCCAAAATCCCGAACCCTTCGACCGGTTTAGGGGTATATCGACCATTGTGGAGGTGCTCGGGTCTCCTCTTAACCCTTTAAGGGGATCTAAGGGGGTTCCTTAAAGGGCTCTTCAAAAGGGATAAATAAGGGGATTACAAGGGGATCTACAAGGGAGGTATGGGACTAAGCAAGTAGGTGATAAGTAGAGTTATAAATGCCCCAAAAAGGGATCCTAATTGGGGTTACGGTAATTATCACCTCATAAAATAACTACTTGGTAAGTCCGCCGACCCTCCAAGAAGGGATTGTATACTGGGTTCAGTGTTTAGGAGCGTAGGGTTTAGGGTTTAAGGTCTAGGGCTTAGGGCTCAGGGTAAGAATAATAGCATCCGTCTTGTGACCTGTGCTCTAGGCTAGTGGTAGTGGTGGGACTTGAATAACTACCTATATTATTTTGGTGGATTCCTTCTGATTTTATATATATATATATATATATATGGAGTATAATTTGATGACCCAGAACCCTATTCTAATCCCTAAACCCTAAACCCAAACTAAGGCCCCTACATTGCTTGGCGGTTCAGGGCTTAAAAACGCCCTACTATGCTTCTAGGTGATGCTCCAGCTGTCCATCCATGATAACGATTTAGGGTTAGGGCTTTAGGGTTTAGGTTCTAGGCTTTAGGGTTTACGGTTTGGGGTTTAGCACACTTTGACTCCAAGGTGAGCATCTGTGAACCCCTCTATGGTGTAAGCATGTACGATATTCGGCACACGGACACTGCTCTCAACAACCTAAAACCCGCAAGCCTAAACCCCAAAGCCCAAGCAATGAACCCCGAATTACACCCCAAACCCCTAAACCACCCTAAAGCCTAAACCCTCGGAAAACAACACTGAGATGCAACTTGAGTCCGACTCTTGTCCTAGACGGTCACCGGCAGTTATTCCCGATGCTCCGCATCAACGCCGAACGGTCAACAAGAGGAATCCAGAAAGCTTGGCCTCTTTAAGCCATACCTGGAGCTACTGTAGGGGCTCTCATAATTAGAATAGGGTTTTGGGCTCCTTTATACTGTAGTTATAATAGGGAACCCTAAGAATAATATCGGTAATTATTTCGTCCCCTATAATATCACACCCCACCTATTTGTACACCCGTTTCTGCCCTACAAAAAAAATAACCAACATCCTGCCCAGCTCTTCTACGTCCGCAGTGCTCCCCAGGGACTTCGCCCCAGGATTGAAACACATGGTGAGGAGACCTCTCGTACAGTGGCTCAAGAAAACCGTTTAGGTTTTAGGCCTACACCCTGGTTTCCTTTTGAACTCGGTTAGGGTTTAGGGGTTCGAGTATTAGTTTAGGTCTTATAGGGCTAACGACTGCTTCCAGGCTCAGAAGCTTTTGTAGCTACTCTACGAAGCCTAGACCGTGATTTAACGGATCGGGGGACTGAGCGCAGACAAAACTCAATTCATGGTCGTGTCCGCGGCTGACGCTGTAAATCACGTGCGACTGGAGAACACTACACTGACTCGGCCAAATTACCACGCTTCCCCTGGCTTGTCTCCATAGGCCGATGCAGGATTCGCAGAATCAACATGTACAGTAGAAGCCCAACCGTTGGAAACCCAATAGCCTCAATCCTTAAGAGTTCGTGTATAAGGAATCCCAGCCCTGAGGGTCCAAGTACGCCCTATTAGGGTTTAGGGTTTAGGGTTTAGGGTTTATTGTAGGACTTTGGGGTCCTTTTTGGGTACCAAAAACCATAAATAAGGACTACTTGGACCCTTAGGGCCAGCACTATTTGGCCTTAATCCGGTTTCCAACTTTATGGGGTTTATACTATACTACTGCTGATGGACAAAATCCTGCATGACCTTAAGGACGCCAAACTGTGGGAACTATGGTATATTCCTCATTACGGGTCATGCAGGATTTGGTCCATCAACAGTAACAACCGGACTTCGATGGATTTCGGGTTCAGGCTTCGTCGCTCTAGATCTCCATCCGGGAAACTTTCCCGACTATCCAAGGGGAAGAGGAGGGACCCTTAATGGGGACCCCTACCCTATAATGGGCTATATAATGGGTATATAAAAGTTATATTAAGGGTATATACCTAGGGGTCCTTATTAAGGGTCCCTCCTTTTACCCTTGGAGACTAGCTTCAAAGACGTTCATAGGGTTCTATATGGGGTCCCTTCAAAGGGATCCTTAAAGAAGGTTCTATATAAGGGCCACTACTTGGAGGGTCGGGGGACTTACTAAGTAGTTATTTTAGAGACTTAGAAGTACCGTAACCCCAATTAGGGTCCTTTTTGGGTACTTACAACTCCACTGATTACCTACTTACTAAGTCCCCCGACCTTCCAAGTAGCTTCAAGACGGTCCTACCACTTGAGGGACCATCAACGCTATGTGTTTTCAAGGCGCCCAAGAGTTCCAGGGGGTCGAATGTAGGAGCCTTGATGATTGGAACAAGGCTTGGGGGGGGGGCATGGTATAATGTATTCATAACAATAAGGAACCCTCGGAAAGACTTCTCGTTATGGCCTACTGCTTTGTAGCGTGTGGGGCCACCCTTAAACCCTGAACCCGAAACCTTAAACCCCTAAACCCCTAAGCCCTAATCCTTTTAAGCTCCCAATCAAAAGGCAAACAAACACACCCCGAACTTTAGGGCCCCCAACAGCCACATAAGCAAAGACACGGATAGGGATATCCCATATAAACCCCCTCATAATGAAGCACAGGTTGGGATATCCCGGTATCCCTATGAAATGCTTATGCTTATGTGCTTTTTGGGTCCCCAAAACTTGTACCCTGACGGAGGTCAACTCGAAGTCGTGCGGACTCTGGATTTCACGCTCGCTGCAACAACCACTCTGGCAGTCTTGCACCAGAATCTCAAGGATTCTGGGTGCAACATAAGGTTTAGGGTTTAGGGGCATAAATGATCACTGACACTATTATCAGGTTCCTTACGAGAAAGGGAATAGAATATACCGCAAACCTTGCCAATCTTGCACCAGACGCTCAAGGATTCTAGATGTAACATAGGGGCCCACGTGATCTCCGCTGCTAGGCTATCAGGTTCCTTATATCTTGTTATAACGGTATTACTATAATACTACTTCCCAAAATCCACGCTCTATTCATTAAGGCCGAACCGACCCGGACCCTAACCCTACACACCATCTCCCTAAAGAACTTTTCCGAGGAACCCTCCAAGGACCCTGAACACTCATCCTCAACACCCCAAGAACCCTCCACGGCACCCTGGCAGGACACTGCTCTTCTAGGATACCCAGTAACCTAAGAATAGAAAGGCCTCTCTTTTTGGTGTTGGGTAACTTTATAAGGAACCTAGGACTACAAAAAGGGAATGAGGGTACTACTGGGCATCCTAGTCTTGTACTTAGAGTATCGTGCGACTTAGTAACTGGGGTCATAAATAAGGTAACCAATAACCCCATTAAGGTATTTCTATCCTTACTTACTAAGTCCCATGATCCTCCAAGTCCAAGTGTAGTACCCCTCAAAGGAAACTTTAAAGAAAGACTCAACTCTCGGCGCAACTACAAAGCCTAGACCCTGCACCCTAAATCCTCAACCCTACCCTAAGGCTCCCGAAGGGGTCATGGGCTTTCTGGGGGAAGGGTTTGGGCTTTGGGGACTAAGGTTTGGGATTTCACTGGTCCAGGACCCTTAGGGTAGACTCCAGACCCTACACCCTAAACTCTGAACCCCAGACCAACATCTCGGTCCCGGTGTAGGGAGGGCACTGTGGGTTTGGGTTTTAGGGTTGGGGGTTCAGGGTTTAGGGGTTCAGGGTTTCGGGTTCCGGGGTTTGGAGTTTCGGGTTTAGGATTTAGGGTTCAGGCTCAGGGTTTGAAGGGCTTGGGGGCTTAGGTTGGGTTTTGGGTGTTGGCTTTTGGGTTTAGGCCGGGACTGCTTTAGGAATTGCAAGTCCCGGAATGCGACGACAGTGGATGTCAGGATGTCATGGTTGCGCAACGCGAGGAAAAGCATGTAATACATGGAAACCAGGCCGCGGACGCTTAGCACTGCGGACTAATTCGCGCAGCATCGTATCTACGAAGTACGCATGCAACAGATTAAAGCTCGCAGATAAATACGGTCCCCGCATGCCCCTCAGGGTCTGTGAGCCTCCACTGGCGATGCAACGCCCATCCCTGAACCCCCAAACTACAGCAGCTGAAACCCTAAATGGAAATCACACGAAAGGGCATCACATCGACCAGCCTGAATTAGTTCCAGCGTCTTACTCCTTTTTGAGGGTCTACAGCCGGAAGCTAATCGTGCCATCGGAATTTTGCACCACGGCAATGGGCGGCATGTCGCGGGGAACCAGGCACCCCTGGCTGGCGGTGCAGCCAGCTTCCACGGGAGTCGATTTTGCTACCTCGGTTCAGATTTTAAGGCTCAAGTGTTCCTTCAATGAAGGTTTTACCAGCGCCTAATGTAGGAACCTGATTTAGAATCGGCCTAAAACCACAAAATAGTAGGATTCATCTCTAAAGAGCCCTAATAATGGCCCAAGGATTCTTAATCGGGCTCCTACAGTAAACCCTAAACCTGAATTACCATTCATCAGCACTAAAACCCTAAACCTGAATTACTACCCTCAGGGTCCTTACAAAGTGGGGAACCTCAAAATTGAGGGTTTCTGAGACCCCTAAGAGACCCAAGGACTCTCCCGAGGACATCCCGGACCCTCCTAAAGAGATACCTGGACCCTTAGGGTAGGGTTTACTTGGAGGGTCGGGGGACTTACTAAGTGGCTATTCTAGAGGGGTGTAAGTGCCATAACCCCAATTAGGATCCCTTTTAGTGTACTGATAAGTCTGCTTACTGTTGAATTTCAACATTTCGGGCTTTACGGTTTTTGGCGCCTGGCTTAGGCTGCAGGGAACGGCCTCGAACCCCGAAATCCCTGAAAATTTTGAAACTGCGCTTCATCTGCCGTAATTCAAAGGGGAAAAGGAGGGACCCTTAATGGGGACCCCTACCCTATAATGGGCCATATAATGGGCATATGAAAGCTATATTAAGGGTATAAACCTGAGGGTCCCTATTAAGGGTCCCTCCTTTTCCCCTTTGAGTAATGTGCCAAACCCGACTACTGGCCCTCCCTTGTGTGCTCTTCTTATAAACCCTCATATCGATTGTACCAGGACCCTACAAAACAGTATGTTTTGGTGGGTTAGGGTAATAATACCTTAAACTCCTGAAACCCTTAAACCCTAAACCCTTAAACCCTAAACCCTAAACTCCCTAAACCCTTTAAGCTCCGGCGACTAGGGAAGCCAAACCCTCAACGATAATTAAACCCTAAAACCCTAAACCCAAAAACCCTCAACCCCTAAAAACCCTAAACCCCAAAAACTCTAAAACCCCAAAACCCCTTCTAGACCCAAGAGTAACCTAGGCATAAAAAGGGGTGTCCTTTTTGATTTAAAGGGGCTTATAAGGGAACCTGAACCCTAAAAAAGGGAATAAGGGCCTACTCTAGGTCCTAGCCTTAGAACCGCCAAAGTCGGCCCAGCATCGACTGGCGCCCCAGCTGCTCCGGCGCCTTGGATGGTCCCGCCCGAAGCCTTCGACTTCGAAGCCTTGCCCTTCGCATCCTGGGATTCACCTCAGGGTGTTTTGGGTTTATGGGCTTAGGGTTTAGGAGCTATGGGTTATGGGGTTTAGGGTTTAGGAGTTATGGGTTATGGGGTTTAGGGTGGAGGGGTTTGGGGTTTATGGGTTTAGGAGTTATGGGTTATAGGGTTTAGGGTTGAGGGGTTTGGGGTTTGTGGGTTTCGGGTTTAGGAGTTATGGGTTATAGGGTTTAGGGTTGAGGGGTTTAGGGCTTATGGGTTTAGGGTTTAGGAGTTATGGGTTTTTGGGTTTGGGGCTTAGGGTCTTGAGCTTCATAGTCTTCAAGGTCTTTAGGGTCTTCAGCGTCTTCAGGGTCTTTAGGGTCTGTAGGGTCTTTGGTGTTTCGGGTCTTCAGGGTCGTTATGGTTTGGATGACTAAGGCGATGCTAGAGGATCAGGGGACCCGGGGTCGGTTTAGGGTTTGGGGTTTAGGGTTCAGGGGTTTAGGGTTTAGGGGTTTAAGGGTTTAGGGTTTAGCGTTTAGAAGTTAGGGCTTCTAACGATCAGGGCCTTTAGAATTCAGGCCTCAGAGGGGTTAGGCCATTCGGGGCAACTTCCGGGTTTCTTAGGGCGTAGAATCTCTTTGCCCCTCAGCTAAGCAATCTACCGTAAATCATGACATGATGGGCTCTACCCTTTAAAGTACATCCCTGAATACAGGGGCGTTTTTCTCTTTGGCTGAAAAGGTTTCAACAGCGGCTTATAAAGCTTCTTCTTGTTTGTAGGCTGTTACAAGGTTTCGGTTCCATAAGGCAAACAAGGACTCCGCAAAGAGTTCTTGTGCCGGTTCTTAAACGGGCCCGAACAGGGCCAGAGGGTTCACCTCAGGGATTTTCGGTGGGATCTTGAAGTAAGAACTTCTTAATGGGGCCTCTTAGTGCTTTGTCCAGGGGGTTGGTTTTAGGATTCGGCGTCATCAGTGACTGCGTAAGTTACGTCATGGGTAGAGGCAAGCATGCCCTAATTGGGGTTATCCTGCTCTAAACCCTCAACCCGAAACCCTAAAACCAAAGCTTCAACCTAAGGTTCGTGTTCAGGGTTTCGACCTTAGGGTTCGGGGTTTAGGGTCTTGGCTTCAGGTTTTAGGGTTTTAAGGTTTAGGGTTGAGGTTTTAGCATCTAGGGCTTAGGGTTTGGGTGTAGGCTGCAGTTGCTGGGGCTGGAGTACGGCTTACGATCTACGGGTCCAAGCTTCGAGGGCCTGGGGTGCAAAGTACAGGGTCGTGGTCATGTGCTAACTTCGAACCCCGACCCCCTGGGTTTACCTAAAGGTTCATGGGACTTAGTAGCTAGGCTCATAAATGAGGTAACTTTACAGTACCATTACTTATAACCCTAATTAGGGTCCCATGATCCACCAAGTAAGTAGGTTTGTTCTGAGGGCCTTTGTCGGAACACAGATAGGGTTTAGGGTTTCCCTGTCCACGCCTTTCCCTGCCGTGATGCCGCTCTTGGGAACACTGAACGGCCCTTCATAACCAGCAGATTGCAGTGGCGGTGTGGGCCAGTCGCCAAGGCGATTCGTAGCAGTCTGCGGGATTCGAACTGGCTGGCCCTGTTGTTCGCGGCTTCTCAACGGTTCACACCTGACCGGGGCTTTCAAGCCTAGGCTTCAGGTTTTAGAGCCTTAAAGCTTAGGGTGTCAAATACAGAGCACCTCTCTCCCGAAGCCTACGAAATTGCAGGATATTGCAAGGTAGAACCAGTAAAGGTAGGGTTTGAGTTTACAGCCTTGAGGATCCATAAGTATTCCTACCTCAGTATTGCAAAAGACTATACTAGCCTATAACCCTAAACCCTATAGCCTAGACCTTAAACCCTAAACCCCTAAACCCTAAACCCGAAACCCCAAACTAAACCCCAAACCTACCCTTCGGGTCGGGCCCTAGATTTTGCAAAAAACAACGTCAGCTCGATATTTGCAAGATCCACAGCATTTCTTTGGAGGGCCGGGGGACTTGCCTTAGAGGCTTCTTGAAAAGGATCCTTAGGGGGCTCCTTCAAAGGGATCTAGAAGGTTTTTTCAGGGTGCATTGGGACTCTCTCTAAAGGGGTTTAGGGTTTAGGGTCTTTTTGGAGGGTCGGGGGACCTACTAAGTAGTTCCTTGATAGAGTTAAAGATCTCATGACCCCAATTAAGATCCTTTTTTAAGGTACTTATACTTCGACTTCTTACCTACTTACTAAATGCCCCTGCTTTGTGGTTACACCTACCTTCAACTACCACAACCCATGTTTGGAGGCTCTTGATTCTTCTGAACCCTGGAACAGAATGTATAAGCGGCCCCCGTTCATGCAGATGTAGAAGTGCAGCTTCTAGTATTGGAAGCAAGGCAACGCATTGAGTTTGTAAGGGTCCTACTTGGAGAGTCGGGGGACTTACTAAGTAGTACCATAACCCTAACTAGGATCCCTTTTGGGTACTTTTGACTCTACTTACTACCTACTTACTAAGTCCCATACCTCCCTTGTAGATCCTCTTATCATCCCCTTGTAGATCCCTTTAAAGAGCCCCTTGACCCTAAACCCTAAACCCTAAACCCTAAACCCTAAACCCTAAACCCTAAACCCTAAACCCTAAACCCTAAACCCTAAACCCTAAACCCTAAACCCCTTATAGATCCCCTTAAGGGCCCCTTAAAGGAGCCTTCCTAAGTAGGGACTCACAGGGCTTCATATAGGTAGGGTTTAGGGTTTAGGGTTTAGGGTTTAGGGTTTAGGGTTTAGGGTTTAGGGTTTAGGGTTTAGGGTTTAGGGTGTAGGGTGTAGGGTTTAGGGTTTAGGGTTTAGGGTTTAGGGTTTAGGGTTTAGGGTGGTACACTGGTACACTTAGAATGGCTTTGCTGACTTCTGAATCCCTCCTAACACTTTAACTTTCGGCCTCCGTAAAAAGATAATATAGAAACCCAAAAAGTTCAAGTCCTAAGAGCCAACCAGCAGAACGCCAAGATGGAGCGTTTGGGTTTGTCATGGCATCAGTTATGGAGGCGATCAGGGGATACGAGCGCTGGGCGTAGGGTTGGGTATCTAGAGGGACTTGGCATACTTGCTTCTGCGCAAAGCTCTTATCCGCAAACCCTATAAACCTTAAACCTTAGACCCTGAACCCTAAACCCTAAAACCCTAAAGCCCCAAAACCCTGCACCCTGACACCCTAATATCAGCTTAAATGCAAATATTCGGAGGGACCCCTCCCAGACAGATACTGCGAGTGTAGGGTAGGATAACCCCAACCACAGCAAGCCATTCTAACCCTTATAGATCCCTTAGAGGAGCCCTTATGTACCCTTTAAAAGGAACCCTATCAGGGTCCCCTATTTTGTCTCATACTTACTCGGGCCGTGTTCGGCTTTCATCTTTGGCAGTCTACGAGTCTAACCTGACAGCGATTTAGGGTGTAGGTTAGGTACGGCCCCTTTTAAAGGAACCTTAGGTATATTCCTTAATTAAGGGGTTTACTATACTACTGTTGATGGACCCACACTCAGTATATAATAGTTGAAAAATCTTCATAATATAGATATATTAGGACCTTAATAGTAGCCCTATCATAGACTCTTACTGTATGGGTGCAGTACCCAAGGTGTAGGGTTTAGGGCCCCAGACCCAACCCTAAACCCTAACGTCCACAACCCAACCCTAGACCCGATGCCCGAAACACCGGACCCAGGCCTGAACCCCTAAACCCTAAACTCTCTTCTTCAACAACCGGGCCCCAAAAAGTTCAAACTTTCTGAGATAGAGCTAGCATACAAGGCCAAAAGGTTTAAAGTTCCCCCGTTCACTATCTAAGTATATATGTAGTAGTCCCTTAAAGGACGCTCTAAAGGAACCCTTAAAGAACTCTAAATCTTAGAGAAAAGCAGGGCCTCCAGAGAGGTAATCTAAGTAAACGTGAACCTTGACAGCCCGACTCCTTCAACCTCAACCCAGCGTTCATCAGAGTTCTATATCTGGGTGGTTGTCGGAATTGGGGTCCCTTTTTGGGTACCCTAAACAACAGGTGCCGTATTATAATAATGAGCCAAACAGGGACCCTAATTTTGACAACTATCCTGACTGTGGGATCATTGGACTCAGGCAATAAGGATACAAGTACTTTAATTACAGTCAGAGGTAGTTATAAGTATAGCTACCCTATTCATGACCCTGGATACTGAGTCTCATTGCCCCTAAAGTCTTGGACATCGAAGAATATCCAAAATCAAAAAGTCTCCCCCCCCCCCCAGTGTTTTACATCAAGCTTTTAAGGTTGGCCCTATCCTAAACCCTGCACCGTGGCTTCCTTGCTGGAGGTAGGCCTAAGAGTAACCTAGGAATAAAAAGGGTGCCCTTTTTGGTTTAAAGGGGTTTATAAGGGAACCTAAACCTTAAAGAAGGGAATAAGGGCCTACTCTGGATCCTAGTCCCACCCTTGGAGCCCTTTGACCCTGTGTGTTTCGACCTTAGGGCTGTCGGCTTGTGAAAGCCGGGAACGAACTGGCCGTGCACGTTGCGGACGAACTCCTGTATCCCAGACCTCTGTCTGCCAAGCTGAGGGTGTAATGTAGGAGCCTGATTAAGAAACCCTGGGTCCTTATATTCATAAGCCCCAAAAAGTGTACACTTGCGGTTTTGTACTGGGTAATACTGCTGATGGACAAAATCCTGCATTACCCATTTTAAAGAGTATACCATAGTTCCCATAGTTTAGAGTCCTTAGGGTCATGCAGGATTTTGTCCATCAACAGTATTGATCTCAAAAGGCGTTTACGAAGATTGGGCTGCTGCACTTATAGGGTTTTGGGTAAGCCAGACCTTGGGCTCGAGCTTTCGAGCAAACATCGAATCGGGTCTTAGGATATGTCATATTATACCCCTAAAACCCTAAAAGCTTAAACCCCTAGACCCTAAACCCTATACCTTAACCTGCCGAACCCAACTTTTTCTGTCGGTGCTGAGGAAAAAACCCTAGGATGGAACTTACAGGGGCCCTACAAAAAAAGGGTTTGGTAGGTTCAGGTAGCTATCATAACAAAGATCCTGCAGGACTAGTACTACTACTTCTGCAAGCTTCGATATGTGAGTTTATAGGGTTTAGGGTTTGGGGTCTACCTAGAGGCTCATACCCTACCCCTTTTTTAAGATACCTAGTTTTATGGCTAGGATCTGCTATCTTTCAAAGTAGGCGCCCTAAAAAAGGTGTAGGGTATGAGCCTCTAGGTAGGGTTTAGGGTTAAGGGTCTAGGGTTTAGGGTTTAAGGACTGGGGTCGACTCGCCGACCTGCCCGTTGAAATCAAGGGTAGTTTTTGGGTGCGAAGTCCTACTGTTGATGGACAAAATCCTGCATTACCCCTTATACGGAATATACCATAGCTCCCATAGTTTAGGGTCCTTAAGGTCATGCAATCAACAGTATGCCAGACCTCTGTCTGTGTTCAGGGTTGAGGTTTGAGGTTTCGGGTTTAAGGCGAGGCAAGAAATCCCACATGCCGGACCTCTGTCCCTTAGGCCCCAGGGTTCAGCGTCTACCTCTGTATCAGGGACTTTTTTTTCAGAGTTTCACACCCCAGAACTCTAAGCTTCTTACCCGGTAGTTGGTTTAGGGTTTAGGGTTTAGAGGTTTAGGGTTTAGGGTTTAGGGGTTTAGGGGTTTAGGGTTTAGGGTTTAGGGAATTACCCAGTAATTGGTTTAAGGTTTGGGGCTACGTTGCCAAGAGTCTAGGCGTCAGTGTTCAAGGAAAGCGGTCGGGAAGCTATGAACTCGGGTCTACTTGCTCAGGGCGTTTGAGGCTCTGGCGTGTGGCTTCAGGTTCGAAGTCCTCTGTCCGTTCTGCCTTTACGGTAAACAGGTGTATTAAAACCCTAAACCGATCTATATCCGCAGGGGTTGGTGTTTGGGGTAGGGTTTTAGGTTGTGGGTTTGCGGTTTCGGGTTGCAGGGATGAGGGGGTTCAGAGTTCAGGTCTTTCGGGCTTGAGGCTTTAGAGCTACATACTTGGAGGATCATGGGACTTAGTAAGTCAGGGCAAAGGTACCTCAATTAGGAATACAAGTAGCTCCAGGTATAACCAGTTACCCTATTTATAAGCTTTGTTCGTGGCTCCCATGATCCTTTAAGTATGGGGCTGGCGATGACGACAAGGACAAGAGAGGCAAGAGTATATAGGCTAACAACAACATCAGAAGCAGAGGGTCAGCTAGCACCAGGTTCACACAGGAGCATGGCGAGTGTGCTCCCCGATTTGGTTCGGTTGTCTGTTGTCCTTGATAACCCTGTAGGGTTTAGGAACTACGAGTTTGGGTTTAGGATTTAGGAATTTGGGTTTAGGGTTCAAAATTTAGGAGTTAGGAATTTGGGTTTAGGATTTAGGAATTTGGGTTTAGGGTTCAAAATTGAGGAGTTAGGAATCAGGTTTAGGGTAGACACTCCAAGCCGTCCATAAACCCAAATCACGCAACCCGGAACCCGAAGATTCTAACTCCAATTCGATATAGTACCCTAAATGACAGGATCCCAGAGGCTCCACACATAGTACCATTATAGAATTCGGTCCCTGAAACCATAATAAGAATGGTCTTTTGGGACCTTATTCCATAATGGTAGTATATCTGGAGCCTCTAGGGATCCTTATTATAAGGACCCCAGAATAGGGTACCCCTTGTTTTCGGAACTCCTATACCCTAAACCCCTAAACAATACTTCAGCCCAGCGTCCTGTCGCGACAGATGATAGTAGCAAATCCACGCGACTTGCCGTTCGGAAAGAGTGCCATCCTAGGGTGCCAGAGTTCAGGGCTCCACCCTGAACCCTGAACCCTAAATCTTAAACCCTAAACCTTAAACCCTAAATCTTAAACCCTAATCCCTCATTCCTAAACCCTAAACCCTAAACCCTAAATGAACCCTAAACCCTAAATCTTAAACCCTAAACCCTCATTCCTAAACCCTTAACCCTAAATCTTAAACCCTAAACCCTCATTCCTAAACCCCAAACCCTAAATCTTAAACCCTAAACCCTCATTCCTAAACCCTAAATTACTAAACCCGAAATCTTAAACCCTAAACCCTAAACCCTAAATCTTAAACCCTAAACCCTCATTCCTGAACCCTAAACCCTAAATCTTAAACCCTAAACCCTCATTCCTAAACCCTAAACCCTAAACCCGAAATCTTAAACTCTAAACCCTCATTCCTAAACCCTAAACCCTAAATCTTAAACCCTAAACCCTCATTCCTGAACCCTAAACCCTAAATCTTGAACCCTAAACCCTCATTCCTAAACCCTAAACCGTTTAGGGGTTTACAGGGTCGCGGGCCGATTGCCCTCAGGTAACAACATACCCCTTCAACCATCTGGAACCCATCTACATAATGTAGGAACCTTGGGCCTTTACTAGGGTTCTATAAGGGTTCCTGTAAAGGGATCTACACGGGGTCTATACTATAAAGGGTACTATAAAGGATTCAAGGTTAAGGTTAATGTAGGAACCCGATCAAGAAACCTTGGGCATTTCTTAGGGTTCCTTATATGAACCCTACTATTTTGGGGTTATAGACCCAGGCTTTCTTACTCAGGTTCCTACATTACCAGCGTTGGATGGTGGCCTACCCTACGGGTCCAGATATCTCCTTAGGAGGGTCCGGAATGTCGCAGGGAGAGTCCTTGGGTCTCTTTGAGGTCTCAGAAACCCCGCATTTTGAGGTTCCCCAATTTGTTAGGACCCTTAGGGTAGGTTCCTGAGTAGCCCCTTTACCATGAGATTAATAAGAGTACCACTCTGTTTTGATAAGGCTACCCCGGGACCCCAAAATGACAAAGTGCAAGAGTCTACTACCCTAAGGGTCCTAACAAATTGGGGAACCTCAAAATTGAGGGTTTCTGAGACCCCAAAAAGACCACAGGACTCTCCCTAGGAGATTCCGGACCCTCCTAGGGAGATACCTGGACCCTCAGGGTACTCAGGAAAATCCGGTAAACCCCCACGGCTCTTCACGAACCCTTGAAAAATTTTTCTCACACCCTGAAAATGTCTGGAAGACCTGAAGAATAAACTCCTAAACTTCTAAACCCCTAGACCCTAAATCTCTACAACCCCAAGCCCCCAAACCCCTAAACCCCTCAACCCTAAACCCCTACACCCTAAAAACCCCTGAACCCTAAAATCTCTAACTCCTGCAGTCTCAGCGTCTCCATCTCAAAATCGACCAGCCCCTTGGATTCGAGGAATGTGCGCAAAATCCTCACGGGTTTAGGGTTTAGGGATTAGGGTGTAGGGGTCGAGGGTCGGTTTAAGGTTTGGGGCTCAGGAATTAGGGTTTAGGGTTTAGGGCGTTGCAGTTAGGGTTTGAGGGTTTAGGGTTTAGTGCGTAGGGGTCTAGGGTCTAGGGTTTATGGTCCACGACTCAAACTTTTCGGCTTTTACACACGGTCTTGGCAATTAAGATGCTGGCAATCGGAATTACAAGTGGGTGCCCCTCATAGTTATGCAAGCTTCAATATGACCCTGTATCCTACCTCAGAAAGTAGTCCCGGTGCAGAATTTATTGGTGTTTTTTTAAGACGGCGTCCGAACATAATTCAGGGTTGCATACTATGAAATTTCTGCAAGGGTTCGATTCGGGTGTTTCGGTGGCTTCATGTACTGGATTGGAAAGGTTGGGGTTCAGAAGGGTACGGCCTGGGACTTTTACCCTAAACCCTAAACTTTGAGGGAACCTATAAAAACCCTCAATCCTTCAAGCTTTCAGGCTTGTCGGGCTTACTGTTCAGGATAGCCTCTGGGTTCAAGGCTCCAGGTTTGAGGTTCAACGTGTCAAATTTCAGCCTTGGCTTTCGGTGTTGAGGGTGTAGGGCTACGGTCGGTGTAGGGTTTAGGGTTTAGAGTTTACGGTGTAGGGCTTCAGGGCTTGGTGTCTGAGGCTTTGGATTTCAGGCTCAAGGTTAAACGGTACCAGGATTCCTCTCTTTTCCGTCGATGGTCCTGAGCTTGAACCTAACACGGAGCCCAAACTACTTACCTTTGGTTAGTAGGGAATGGAAGAATGGTAGCAATAGTAGAGAAATAACTGTACCCCATTCCTCCATTCCCTACTAACCAAAGGTAAGACTAGCCCACATGTAAATGCTTACCCCAGGCCGACTTTCAGGTGCATGTTTATAGTTCATAGCTCAGAGTGAAGTCAAACAATCAGACTCGAAACCCAGTGCCGGTCCCTTCGTCACACTTTGCCGGGATGTTGCGCAGGAAAATACCTTCCACATTATCCCATTCAGTGGCGGCTGCCCTGTGTTGGCGTCGATGGGAGGCCATGTGGCGCAGCCCGGTGAGTATTTACAACACAGGTCACAGAACCCACCGACCCCGAAGGTGACTAGTGAGCAGGCGGGCTTAGCGTTTAGGATTTACCATAGGTATGAGAAAGCAGACTTGCTAAAGAACCCATGAGATTGTGCCCGAAATATTGAAGTCGATGCAAAACCAAAACCGTGATAACCCAACAACCCTACTTGCTACTCTCTATCCGGTCAGGGGCTCAGCCGAGATGGCAACTGGAACATGCATTTAAGGGCGTAGGGGAGTGCACTGGTGTTAGGACGAAGCGGTTTAAGGCTGAGGGTTCCTAAACCCTAAACCCTGAATCCTGAACCCAAAATCCGAAACCCCAGACCTTAAACCATAAACCCTAGACCTAAAACCCTTAACCCTAAATCCTGAAACCTAAACCCTCAACCCTAAATCCTAAACCCTAAACCCTAAATCCTGAAACCTAAACCCTCAACCCTAAATCCTGAACCCTAAACCCCAAATTGAAGCCTAAGCCCTGAGCCCTAAACCACAACCGTTACTGTAGGAACCTGATTAAGAAACCTTGGGTCCTTATTAGGGTTCTTACTATCCCAGAGGGTCCACATATACTACTATTATGGAATCAGGTCCCCGAAACCACAATGTTTTAGGGCCTAATTCCATAATGGTGGTGTATATGGGCCCTCTGGGTATGGATCCTAATAACCGGGCCAGGGTTTCTTACACTAAGGGTCCAGCTATCTCCTCAGGAGGGGCCGGAATCTCCTATGAAGAGCCCTTGGGTCTCTTGGGGGTCGCAGAACCCCTACATGTTGAGGTTCCCCGAAGTGTTAGGAACACGCTCGTGAAACCCTACAGACCCTTGAACAACCCTTTTTTTGGACCCTCCAAACCCTTCAACCCTAAACCCAAATCAGGGAAAGGGCCACTTGGAGAGTCGGGGGACTTAGTAAGTAGGTAGTAAGTAAGAGTTGTAAGTACCCTAAAGGGGACCCTAATTGGGGTTATGGTACTCATAAGCCTTTTTTCGCGTTTCTTATATGAACCCAACTAATTTGGGGTTGTAGGCACTGGGTTTCTTAATCACGTTCCTACATTACCTTAATTAGGGTCTAGGGTTTAGGGTTTAGGGTCCAGGGCTGTAAGTAATCATATGTATAGCTGTCTTAGTTGTAGCCCTGTAACTAAGTCCCATGATCAAGGATTCGTGGTTCAAGGGTTGGGGTCTAGGGCTTGCGTAGGGCTTCCTGACAGTTGCATCAGGGGGCTTAGCCAGTAGCTTATGGGTGGAGATACAAACGACAGACCCCCACGGATTGCTCCTGACAACCCTACATATGACCCTATCTAGGCCCACTCAATAACACCCCTGACGTCAAAGCCCTAAACCCTGAAAGAGTGTGAGATAAGGCACATCACAGGGGTAAAATGTGCTTAAGTTGACGTACGCTACTCTCTGCTGGGTCTCAGGCAAAGGACGACGGTTGAAGATAAGCCCTACACCCTACCTTAAACGACCAAACGTACTCTTCCGCTGCAGGGTCCCTACAGCTTCAGAATACGAATAAACCCTGAACCGAGTGCTTGCAGTATCCAAGGGGACAGGGCTCCGATTTAGGATCCAAGCAAGGTGTTGAAAACCACTAAACCCTAAACCCTATTGGAAGGATCATCGGACTCAGTACAACGCATATAAGTATCTGAATAAGGATTATGCGGGTTCCAAGTATTAGTTGCCGGACCTATAACCCTAGTTGCTACGTCCCATGATCCTTTAAACCTGACACAGTTGCAGATCCCTAAGAACCCTTTAAGGAACCCTTTCGGGAACCCTTTCAGGAGCCCTTTAAGGAACCCTAGTGACTAAGTCCCATGATCCTTCAGGAACATAGGGTGCCAAAAAGACAAAGCAGCACCGCGGTTGGTTTGCGGTGTTCTCGGCTTTAGGGCGTAGGATGTAGAGTTGCAGGTGTTAGGGCTTTGCTAATCTTAATAGAGGCCTGCATGATTCCGAACGGGGTATACAATACGGTTGATGATATAATAAATCCTGCATTACCTTAAGGACCCTAAAGTATGGGAGTTACGGTATATTCGTTTTTATGGGTAACTTTCGGATTTGTATTCTATCATCAACCTTATGACCCTAGCCCCCCTACTCAAAACCTTAAATCCAAGGGTAAAAGGAGGGACCCTTAATAAGGACCCCTAGGAAATATACCCTTGATATAGCTATTATATACCCATTATATAGCCCATTATAGGGTAGGGGTCCCCATTAAAGGTCCCTCCTTTTCCCCTTTGATCAAACCCTCAACCCTTAATCACAAGCCCTCAACCATCCCTCACATAACTTCACAGGGATGAGACCGGCATGATTACGCAAACGCTTCCTAAAAGAACTGACCCTGATCCTGAGCACGATGACACAGCCCGTCGGCATCCTCACCGGTAGGTTCGGGGCATACGGTATAGCATGTGAAGCATGCGTGACAAACACCAAAACAAAACAAAAAGCATGTAAATCGACGTCTTGTGTCCTTCGGGTTCCAAAAGAGCACGAACCCTACGCCTAACCTGATAAAGCCTCTTCAATGCTAAACTCTACTTGCTAAACCTTATCAGGCTCGAAAGCCCATACCACGGCTTCCACTATACCTTACAAGACCACAACCTCAAAACCAAAACCCTACTGAGCCTACTGAACCCTCCACGCCCTACAACACCCCATCAACCGACATCATCACCCCCAAGCCTGCTCTAATAAAGGCAAATCCTCAACCCTCATCCCGAAACTGTAAACGCCAAACCCTAAAATGCAAAAGTTCGGAGAGACAATGCAAAAATACTTGTTCGTTCTTCCAAGGGGTTGTGCTGTACTACTACCCAGACACTCCAATATGCCTTAATTAAGGAATACCTTAAATCAGATTCGGATCCCTACTATAATTTAAGGCCTACTCCTCAATTAAGGGGTATTGATAATTCGTGGAGTCTCTGGTTGCCACGGACCTTGATGGACGATCCCTAAACCCTACACCCCTGAACCCCTACTAAACCCCTAAACCCTAAACCCTAAAGCCCTGAACGGGGCGATCCTAGAACAAGCCCTAAACCCTAAACCCCTCAACCCCTAAACCCTAAAGCCCTAAACGGTGCGATCCTACAGTTGATGATATAAACCCTGCATGACCCATAATAGGGAATACACCATAATTCCCATAGTTTAGGGTCCTTAAGGTAGTGCAGGATTTTTATCATCAACCGTAGAACAAGGAGCGAAGGCCCGTGCCGGTTTCATCAGAGCAGCGAAATCCGGGGAGGAAGCCAGGGCCTGGATGTAGGTTTACGGTTGAGGGTTAAGGGTTAGGGGTTTGGGGGTTTAGGGTTGAGGGTTGAAGGTTGAGGGTTAAGGGTTTGGGGTTGAGGGTTAGGGGTTTGGGGGTCTAGGGTTAAGAGTGTAAGGGTTTAGGGTTGAGGGTTAGGGGTTTGGGGGTTTAGGGTTGAGGGTTGAGGGTTAAGGGTTTGGGGGTCTAGGGTTGAGGGTTAAGAGTGTAAGGGTTTAGGGTTGAGGGTTGACGGTTAAGGCCTTGGGGGTTTAGGGTTGAGGGTTGAGGGTTGAGAGTGTAGAGGTTTAGGGTTGAGGGTTGAGGGTTAGGGATTTAAGGGTTTAGGGTTCAGGGGTTAGGGTTTAGGGGTTAGGGTTTGGGCTTTAGGGTTCTGGACTGTAGGAGTGTCCGAGAATTAAGGGTTATGCTTGGTCCATATAATTAAGGCTCCGATCCTACTATTGAGGGTACTCCCATGTAGTCAAAGCTATATGTTGGGGACTGCCGCTATACGTAACAGTCTGTAGTAGGGCTACTATTGAGGGTCTGGTAGATCTATGTTATGAATATTAAACAACTGCAGCAGAAATAATTTAAAGGTTCTATAAGCTTCCCACAGCGATTATGCGAGGGATGCCCAGTAACACTGTAAAATGCAAGCTTAGAACGCAGCTGCTGCTGTGAGAACCCACATAGAACACCCTTTTCCTTGTAGAAATAATAGACAGAGCCCTATACCTATATCCCTTAGTAGGAATGATTTAAGAAGGTCTACTTGCCGGTCTGTTTATCCTTTTGGGGGAACCATGAAAAAGGACAAGGCTGACATAGAACCCTAAGACCCTAAACTGGCCTCGATATCCCAGAACTGGTGGCAAGCCGGTGCTTCCTGTCCAAGGCTGACGTTCGTACGAAGGTTTTCGGGGTTTGGGGCTTAGGGTTTACCCTAAGGGTCCTTAGAAATTGGGGGAATCTCAAAATTGAGGGTTTCTCCCTAGAAGATTCCAGACCCTCCTAAGGATATACCTGGACCCTTAGGGTAGGATTTAATGGTTCAGAGTTCAGGGCTGAGTTCGCTGAGGGCTTCAAGGGCTCTTTCAGTAGTGCCTCTAGGGTTGTGCAAATGCGCTTGTTAGGGCTCGGTTGCAGCAGCTTGGGAGTTTACTTAAAAAGGGTCTTCTTGCAGGTGTATGAAGATTTGCTGAGGGTTTACAAGCAGGATATCAAAATCGCTGGGCTAAAGTTCGTAACCTTAGGGTTTTATCAAGGTCCCCCCACTGTAAAGGATTCCTTGCTTGTTGCTCTTCTTCCTAAGGCTTCTCAGGTGTTTCGAGCGGCCTTAGACCGTCGAACAACTTGACTTCCTAAGCCCTAGGCTGCAGAAGCCCCGAAACCCTTGAAGCTAAACTACACCCTAACTCGAACCCTTGTAAGCCCTAAACCCAAACACCTAAAACCTGAACCCTAAACCCGAAGCCCACAAACCCTAAGCCCGAAGCGCTATTTGGAGGGTCAGGGGACAAACGAAGTAATTTCTGTAGAGTCAAAAATACTATAACCTCAAATGGGACACCTTTTCAGCGTACGTACAATTCTACGTATTGACCTAAACCCTAAACCCCTAAACCCTAAACCTTCGTAAGTCCACCGACCCTCCAAGTAGTCTTTAGGGCT